ACGGGCTTTATCCTGATATATCGTTCAACCCAGTCCAATAACGGCTTGTGGTACCTAATTTTCCCTGGAAAATAAAAAGGCAAAAAAATGCAAGTTTTCCTCAACAGAGCCTCTGCTAGTACAACTAAGGTGTTTGGAGGCACAAAGTCTAGAACAGCTCACATAAACATCCTACTAAGCCCCTCCAAACAAAAATAAAGTTTTTAGAGGCACAAGTTCAAATGATGAATTTACAGTATTAAAAACAATACGACATTGCAAGTTTTACTCAAGTAAACACTCTTAATACAATTAAGGTTTTTGGAGGCACGAAGTCAAAAACATCTCACCTGAACATTCGGCTGAGCCCCTCCTATCAAACTAAGTCTTTTTGAGGCACAAAGGCAAATGATTATGATACAGCATTAAAACAATAAACTGCATTGCAAGTTGTCCTCAACAGAGCCCCTCCTAACACAACTAAGGTTTTGGAGACAAAAGTTATTTAAAAAAGCGGCAATGCTAGTTGTCCTCAATTAAGCCCCTCATAACTCAACTAAGGTTTTTGGAGGCGCAAAATCAAATGATGATTTTGAAATAATAAAAAACAATACAGCAATGCAATATGTCCGCATTAAAGCCCCTCCAAACACAAATAAGGTTTTTGAAGGCACGAAATCGAGAGCAGCTCACCTAAGATTTTTGGAGGCACGAAAGCAAATGATCACGATACAGCATTAAAATAAAATACGGTATTGCTTGGTGTCTTCAGCTAAGCCCCTCCTGAAGACAACCAAGGTTTTTGGAGGTACAAAGTCTGGAATAGCTCACCTAAACAATCGGCGAAGCCTCTCCTCACAGAACTCAGGTTTTTTGAGGCACAAAAGCAAATGATCAAGATACAGCATTAAAAAGAGTTACGGCATTGCAAGTTTTATTCAACTAAGACCCTCATAACACAATTTATGTTATCGGAGGCACAAAGGCAGGAACAGCTCGCCTAAATTTTCGACTAAGCCCTTACTAACAGAACTAAAGTTTTTGGTGTCGCAAAGTCATATGATTATATGAAAGTGTTGAAAACATACGGCATTGGAAGTTGTCCTTATAATATCCTCTTCTAACACAATCAAAGTTGTTGGAGGCACGAAGTCAAGAACAGCTCACCTAAACATTCCACTAAGCCCCTCCTAATACAACTAAGAATTTTGGAGGCCCAAACAAAGGCAAAAATCATTTTACATCAACAAAATGCCATACGGCATTGCAAGTTGTCCTCAAATAAGCCCCTCCGAACACAACTAAGGTTTTTAGAGGCGCAAAGTCTGGAGCAAAGTTGTTGGAGGCACAAAGTCAAAAACAGCTCACCTAAACATTCCACTAAGTTCCTCCTAACACAACTAAGAATTTTGGAGGCACAAAAGCAAATGATCAACTTACAGCAATAAAATTAAATACGGCATTGCAAATTGACCTCAACTAAGCCCCTCCCAACAAAACTAAGGTTTTTGGAGGCGCAATGTCCGGAACAGCTCACCTAAACATCCAACTACGCCCCTCCTAACACAGCTGAGATTTTTGGAGGCGAAAAGTAAAATGGTGAATTTACAGTTATAAAAACAATACGGCCTGACAAGTTGTCCTTAACAAAGCGCCTCCTAACACAATTTTTTTTTTGAACGCACTAAGTCAAGAACAGCTCACGTAAGCTTTACATTCAGCCCCTCCTAACGTAACTAATGTTTTTGGAGGCACAAAAGTAACTGATCATTTTACAGCAATAAAGTAAAACACGGTGTTGCAAAATGACCCTAACTAAGACTCCCTATTACAATTAAGATTTCTGGAGGCACAAAGTCAGGAACAGTTTACCTAAACATTCAGCTACACCCCTTCTAATTCAACAAAAATTTTTCGAAGCACATAGTCGAATGATAGATTTAAATATTATAAAGGCCATTCGGAGAACATATTTATAACAAAATTGACTAGAAACGAACAAAATTGTGAAAAAACCTAAAGAAGTTTTAGAAACTTTTTCGAAAAATTTTGCAGAAGTTTTTGGAGTTTTGAACTTTCTTTTAGAAGATGGAGCCAAAAATCTACAAAAACTATTTTTGTTTCAGTACAAATTAGTTGAGTACTGCAAAAGACTCAATATGATATATCACTCAACCCAGTGCAAGTTGTCCTCAACTAAGCCCTCCCAACACAACTAGGGTTTTTGGAGGCGCAATGTCCGGAACAGCTCACCTAAACATCCAACTACGCCCTTCCTAACACAGCTGAGGTTTTAAAGGCGCAAAGTCAAATGGTGAATTTACAGTTATAAAAACAATACGGCCTTGCAATTTGTCCTCAATAAAGCGCCTCCTATCACAATTTATATTTTTGAACGCACTAAGTCAAGAACAGCTCACGTAAGCATTCCATTCAGCCTCTCCTAACGCAACTAATGTTTTTGGAGGCACAAAAGCAAATAATCAACTTACAGCAATAAGGTAGAAGACGGTGTTGCAAGTTGACCCTAACTAAGACTCCCTAGCAGAATTAAGATTTCTGGAGGCACAAAGTCAGGAACAGCTTACCTAAACATTCAGCTACACCCCATCTAATTTAACAAAAGTTTTTGGAAGCACATAGTCGAATGATAGATTTAAAGGCCATTCGGAGAACATTTTTATAACAAAATTGACTAGAAACGAACAAAATTGTAAAAAAAACCTAAAAAATTTTTAAAAAATTTTTCGAAAATTTTTTGCAGAAGTTTTTGGAATTTTGAACCTTCTTTTAGAAGATGGCGCCAAAAATCTACAAAAACTACTTTTGTTTGAGTACAAATTGTTGGAGTGCTGAAAAAGACTCAATATGATATATCGCTCAACCCAGTCCGACGATTATTTGTGGTACCTGATTTTGCGTGGAAAAAAATCTAAAACACACTTGAATACAAAGTTCCTTTCCATTTTCAATGGTCGGAACAAAGGTTTAGTCGCTCAATCGGGCCTTATTTTTTGGAAGTTCTCTCAATAAAAACAAGGACGATGATTTATAAGGAATAGTTTTTAAAGACAGTCTTTTTTTGATGATGTTTTAGACGCAAGTAGACTAAAGCAAATGATGTTTTTAGCAAACAGGTTTTGTTTTCTGATTTTTGTTTCAGCATGAAAAAACCACAGTTACTGTTGCTCTGCTTTTAAATCATTATTCATTGCAAATTTACTTTTTCCACGAAAATTATGAAACTGAATTCTACGAAAGTTGTATTTTTCAAATTAAAACGCTAATTTATTGAAATGAAAGTTTTTCAGAAAAATTTCCTGGTATAAAATTTGGGTTTCTTGATAATTTTTTGCGAGCCAATTGATATAAAAGAATGATTACTAGTTCTTGTTGAAATTAAATCCCATTGCGATATTTAAATTTAGAGTATCATTATCCAAGAGTTGTTTGAAAAATTTCAATACACTTTCAAAGGTAAATTTTCAATCGCGTAACCGGGCCTAAATTTCAAGCAATCGGATATTTTCTCAATGCAAAAAATGACAGTGATTTATAGAAATAGTTTTTGAATGAAAGTTTCTTTTTATTGCTTTTTTAACAAAAAAGCTGTCCAAAACAAATGATGTATTGAGCAATAAGATATTGTTTTTTTTCGCCATAAAAGGTCAGTGTTTGAACAAATAGAGCAAATATTCAAGCAAATATAACTCTTTGATGATTTGGCGTCCTTTTTTATCCTCAGCTTTCCCGTACCGTTTTCCAAACATTAATCAGAATTTTTAACTGCAACTTTTGTTTAATTTTTGCATTTCGATATCTCTATAAAAGTCAGCTCATCAGACTTCAAAACTACTTTTGAAGCTAAATGTGTTACAAGGAAATAAAAAACTAAAAATTTCAGTGACGAAAAATTTGATCTTTTCCAATCAGTCAATTTTTAAATTCTCAATGGACTGAGTTTGACAGGCGACAGGTGATGTAAACACAAGCGGATTAAGCATTATTAGTTGTTTCCACATTTACCAAATTTTACTAACAGCAATTTCATAATCTATGTATAAGTTATAAGAATAAAAACTAGATCATATTTCTGTTTGTTATATTTACTTCCTCAATTTTCAAGTTATTTAAAATAATCAATTTCTACTTTTTTCAAACGAATTCATTCCAATTGTTTTGACCACAATATAAAAGAGTTTTGATTTTTTTGACGCAGAGAGCGCACAAAAACATCAGATCATTTTGAGTGAAGTACCATATAACTAATTTGAAATTTTGTCTTTAATCCAATTTCGAGCTAGGAAAACCAACAAAAAGCATAGATTAGGTTTGTAACTCACGAAAAAAAAATTGAAGCTTCATTTATTGCTTTCGGTCAGCAAAATTCAAAAATTATGAGAAAATTCAAAAATTATGGTTTTTTTGCAAAGATGAGTGTAGTCAATGAAAACCGTTACGTATGTAATAATCTCACCTTTAGCCCATTTTCACACACCACGGCACAAAAGCAAACAAAGTCAAAAGAGACGTTTTTTTAAGTTGTTTTGATTTTTTTTGTGCTGATTGCACTGCAACCGGTAATTCTTAAGACCCCGCATTTTCCCATAAACAATTGGTATTATTAGCATTTTCTCTGAAAATAATATAACAATAAGTTTTTCTTGGTAGAGTTTTTCATATTTGGCTGGATTCGTTTCATATTTGTTCCTAATACGGCTCTAACGGTTTTTTTCCTGCAAACCCGTCTGCTTTAAAAATTATGAAATTTAGCAAAACTGAAAATGAAGAACACCAACATGGGATGAAAAGGGATTCAATATAAACTCCTTCCAAAATTCCCTTCTTAAGGATAGCTATATTTATATTTTTTCAGTGGTTGATTCCTGAAAAAAAATTCAATTTTGATTCAATCAGAAAATAATTTTTCATTAAATACATCATTGAAAAATTTATTTTACAGGAGAGGTTTTTATTTTTAATGAAAAGGAAATATATGAACTATTGTAAAAATGGTCACATATTTCCTCAACACTGTTCAAAAATCAACTCATATCAATTTTTAAAGAATTATTTAGTACACCAACAAAAATGAACTTTCAGCGGTGCAATTTTCCTCATTTCAGTTTATTGGCCATCTTTTGACTGCCTTTGTCAGTATTCCGATATTGGCTTCAATTTTATCCGGTGTACAATTATTACTCTCACTTTCTACTTCATCCTAAGAAAGGTTGAAATTGTTACAGGTCTAGTGCAAGCGATGGTCTTTCCAACTAATGGGGGCGCCCCATCCCCCCAGGAAGTCGACTTCACTGCACAGGTTTACAATTGCTACCTTTTAACTAAAAGTTTTGTAATCCCACCAATCGATCTCAATTTTTACCTTGAGTCACATTAACTCGAGAGTCTACTTGCATTCACAAAAAGATTTTCAAAAGTGTTTGTAAAACAATTTTTTGTATAAAATTTGAGAAACCGCGTAGAACGCTGCAACTCAATTTTAGAGCTTTTACGCGAATTTGGCAAAAGCAATAAAAATAGTATACGTTCAGGGCTCTCTTTGTCAGTTAAACCCCATTTTTCATCAATACGGGATTCGATTTTTTTAAACTAAGTTTCGAATGTCTATATGTTCGTAAGTCGTGCCAAAAGATCGGCATGATAATTCCTTCCGGGAAAAACCGTCACTATCATCGCGACTTAAAAGTATGTAAAATTCGAACCGTTGAATTTGATTTTTTGCGAGTGAAAAAAATGCCCCAATTTTTGCTAGCAACAATTGTCAACTCCAGGTTTAGCCACCAATTCTGGACCACCAAACAACAAATCAATAGCAAACAATTGTCTTTGCTCTTAATTGGTCTGAAAAGCAGAAATACTCAAACCATTTTTCTCGACAATGAAATAAATTCTTAGATACTTTTACAAAGTCGATCAAATCACCAACTCACTCCCCTTTTATACAGTATATCACTCGATCTGTGCGACAAGTCTATGGAGTACCTGATTTTGTGAAAAATTAGAGCATGCACTTGATTAAGTTTATGAGATCACAAACTTAATCAAATAAGCAAGAGACAGGGTTTCACAAACTTAATCAAATTTCCTTTCTATAAAATTTAGCATAGTGTTGTCTCTAAAGATAGCTTATGATTATTTAGATCTAAAACGAGATCATCGACAAAATTTTAGAACAGGAACGAAGATAATATCCGCATTATATCAAAGCGGTTACCAGGTGAACGGATCTGAATTTTGCTCAAAGCTGTAACTTCAAGCTAATCAGCATTAAATACTTTATACGCAGCAATGGAAACTTGATTGACTTGAATAGAGGCGTGGAAGGTTTTAATTTTCTCAAAAATGGGGGAGGGGCTTGAAACTGGTCTCAGATTAGTTTTCAAATAATCTCCTCACCTTAAGCGAAATCCGAGATCGCTTCTGAACGCATCGGTAGATTTTAGCTAAATAAACTTTATACTTTTGACGCAGTAAATGTACAAAGTGTCTTTCTTTGAGTAACTTTGTTTTATTTCAGTCAGAGCTATCATGGGAAACCTAACCAGATATCTCGAAACTAAAAAACACCAATTCACCTATTACATTTTTTCCGCTGAAGTATTCAACAGTTTCCTGCTGCTGAAATGAATTAGATGTATAATCGAGCAGAATTCAGCGCTACCGACATTTTTCGCGGCGTCTGGCTAAATTCAATTACTGATTGGCCAAAATTATGCACTTTACATTTTTCACAGTTTTTCTTTGAAAAAGTTTTGGCAAAGCAAGCCAAAACAGCAACCTTTATTGGAAAAATTCATATGGTGCTTCACTGCAGAAGCATTTACTGGCGCCCATGAGTACAAAAAATTTTAAGAAGACGGAAAAATGTGACTTTTTGTTAGTCAAAAGGCAATACTCATAATCCAATTTGCATACCTTTCGGTGATTGTCCCAAGTTTTAAAGAAAATGACGAAATATTTATGCTTGGTGTGATTTGTTTTCAGACAAATTTCAATTTTTTAAATAAGCAATTTCAAAGAAAAAAATCATATCATCCGACTAATATCAAGGCTTTGCACTCAAATTGAAAAAATACTTCACCTGTGATAAGTTTCCGCGAAGTTTTAATTTTGTAACTATTTAAGCCAATTTGAGAAATCTCCAACGAAACGAATGTGATAAATTATTCGAGCGCAAAAATCAAAACGAAGCTCGCTAAATGATCGATACAAGACTGCTCGCATATTGAGGCAAATCCCTGAATGTTCCTTTAGTTTTAAGTAATAGTTTGTAGCCAAAAATTTTCCCCAAACTATAAACTGAAGATTTTCAGAGTGAAATATCAATAGTTAAAATTGTAATTTGAGTCTTAGCTGAAAATTATAAAAATTTTGTGTGCGGGGTAAAAATCCGTGCTTCAGCATCATAGATATAGATTTCAAAGTACTTAACCAGTAGTTAAAACGCATTTAGGATAAAGCATAGCACATTAGCTTGGAAACACGTAGGTGCCGGTTTTGACCACCACTCCGAGAGAGTCTGAGCGTTTATTTCAGAAACGAAATTGTTCTGATGGAAAAACCACCCCAATCAAGATATATTATTCACTCTCATCAAATATTGAAACAAAATGGGTATTATATGCAAAAACTTTCATCTTGTAATTTTCATTGGTTGTGGGGGGACGATTTCAAAATCAATCTTCAAATTTGGTCATTAATCAATTTTTAATAATAATTTTACTTCAAACAACCTTCTGACAGTCGGAACATTCAATGCCTCACCCTGATAAGAGCAGTCTTGTTTTGTTAACAAATTTGCTCGAGCTTTCGGATAACGTAATCACACTCGGAGCTGGACCAAAATGAAATGCTCCGCATCTTATTTTGAAAACTAATCGAAGAAAGAGTTTTTTCTTTTTTTTTAAACCTTTTTCCATTTTCTTTAAAAAAAAACCTTTTCAAAAAACCCTAAGTATCGCTCATGGCATGTATTGATAAACCCAAATCACTCACTCCTACTCAGGAGTTTGATATCTTGAAGAACTAATGAGTTCACTCTTGGTAGCATCATCTTAGATGATCCATTTTTTTGCCAATTCACTCTAAGAAAAACTTTGAAAGGCAAAATGAAAATTTTTTTAGAGAGCTTTAGTTCAAACAGATTTTAAAATGACGAGTCAACTTATAATCTGTTTAGACATCCGCGTTCCTTAGGATTCGCCCATGGTTATTACATGTGTCATATTACCAGCGACATAACTGCGGTTTATCGTAGTTTTTTGTTTCGAAAAAATATATATATTTTATATTAAGTTTTTCTTTGGAGCCGCTTATTCTAATTAAGCCTAGGGTGGCTCAATAACGGGGTTTTGTAATTCTGATCTCAACCGGAACTGCAGCACTTAAGCACCGAATCAATTCAAAACTGATCAGAAATTTTCTATTGAGCGAGAAAAGGTTGAGAAAACGTGGAAGTTACTCAACCATTCTTACGTAATTGGTTCTTTATATATAATAAGAAGGTCACGAACATCAGGCAAATATTCTGGCGAGGGATTTTTTTGAACTTTTCAAGACGATAACTTAATCAAGTTAAGTGTTTGTAGTCATAATTTGGTGAGACTGCTTCAGATGTCAGAATCACCTTTCAGTACATTAATTTCTGTGGTTGACGCACTAAAACTGTTGCACCGGTGGATCGGACCGCTTAACTTCTTGCAACAAAGACTGCAATCGATATCAGTCATCCGGGAATTATTCAATCTTGGTAGCAGTAGAGTTGCTTTGAACTTGAGATCTTAAGTAGGATTTGAAACACACTTTCGCTCTTTTTTTTCTCGAAATACAAACATACTAAAATATGGAAAACGCCTTCGGGTGAACACTTTTTTGGGGGATAACAATTTTGGTAGCAGCCTGACTTGAATTGTAAACAAAGGCGGGAATCTAAATAAACCCAGCGCGATGTGATAACTGAACCCCTATTTGGTGAAATGTTGGCTAAATATTGACCTCAATTTGAATAAATTCGGCCAATTTGGGTAAACAGTTGGGTCATATTGCTGAACAACTTAGCATGGGGTCTGATTAACCCCGTCATTCCCATAATTCCAACCCACGGGCAAAATTATAACTTACTCGCTCTAGACGTGTTTTTCATTTTCTGATAGATTACTTTGTATCTTGAATTATGCGACCTCCTCTATTTATAAGAAAAGTGTACCAATCGAACCCAGCCATCTTACCTCTTTAGATTATATTCCTTCATCAAGGTGCAGTTATTCCCTCCTTTACCCAGATAATTTATTTTGCTATCCTTCTATGATTTGAGACACCTTAAAAATGCCGACCCGTATAGGATCTTGTATAATGATTTATGCATTTTTGTACTTATCAAATGAAATTATTTCGTCTGACCTTCCTCGTTTCCCTGACAATCGGCGGTCGGTCTCAAAGAAAGCAGAGAGACGATCCGAACCCAAAACCGAGAAGCGACCCGACAGACCTGACGCCGTGAGTTACAGTTACTTCTCACAGTACCCGCTAACCGACAACAATTATAATCGAAACATTCGACCGCACGAGGGCGGCGTAACCGATAATGTCAACATCGGATTGTTCGTAAACAGCGTCCGTTCTGTTTCGGAAATTGACATGACAATGATTCTCGATGCCTTTTTACAAGCAGAGTGGACAGATCATCGGCTGAAACCAACTTGGAATCGACTAAGTCAAGAAATCTACGGCGAGAACTGCCGTTCAAACAAAGAGTCAAATTGCACTAATTTGACAATAACTCTTGGAAAAGCTTTCAGCGAGGCGATTTGGCGACCCGATTTTTATCTTCCATCCGCTATTAACATTTACCCAGCTGACGATTACAATGATAACGTTTGTGTTAAGCTAAGTAGCGAAGGATCTATTTTCTACAGCAACCGAGTAATCATCACAATCTCGTGTCCAATGAAGTTGGTTTATTTTCCATTCGACAGTCACACGTGTACAGTTTGTATTGGGTCGTATAAGTACCATGACCAGCTCGTTAGAATGACTTGGTCTCCGGACTTATCGGGTATGTACGACCACCAGGCGACAGCAAATTTTATGATCCGCAACGAAAGCTCGTGGTCCGTTTTAAACGCTCAGAACAAATCAATGCCGTTTATAGGCGACATTTTTACAGAGCACTGTTTCGAAATTGTGATTGATCGAAAATATAATATTTTTCTCGTCACTTTATACCTTCCAAGTGTGGCTTTAGTGGCTTTATCTTGGGTTAATTTTTGGATAGATCCGAAAGCGATTCCAGCGCGAGCCGGACTCTCTATAACTGCTATTTTGGCACAAATCACTCTTATTGTTGGTATGGCAGGTCGTTTTCCATCAGTTAGTGATTTGAAAATGGCCGACTTGTATCTGACGATCAACTTTATATATACTTTTGCGACTTTGATCGAATTTGCGATCGTGAGCTATAAACCCGAAGATGAAAACACAGAAAAGAAAACAGTCTCACGAAAACGTTCAAGCGTCGCGACCCAAAAACGAAACTTGAGCCGATCTAATTCAGACAACCGCGAACGGTTTAACAAAAGGAAGCTCCACGCTACAAATTCATTTTCAATTGCGAATGGGGTAAAATCAGCCAATCACAGTCCGAACGTTAATCGGGAACCCGATGACGTAATAGTACCGATGGCACAGGCTCAGTCGCTATTGAGCAGTCGGATTGTTTCAGTTTACGAGAACCAAATTCAAGTCCATCATCGTGCGAGTTCATTCGACGAAGCTACTGCTGCAGACTGCTCCTTCCTGAAACCGAAGCGAAAACGAAGAAAGCGGCCAAAAGTTAGGAAAAATGTTGACAATATCTCCAAGGTTTTCTTTCCTGGCACTTTTGGACTGTGGAATGCTCTTTTCTTCACTTCTAACCTTTATCTGGCTGATCGACTAGACTCTCTCTCAAAATCTTTCATCGATGCTGTTTTGGGATGATGAACGAACAATGTGCACAACCAATAAAACGCCCGTCTATGAGCACAATAGAATTTAAACTATCACGTTTAATTTACTTTTTCTTTCAAATGGGCTTATTTTCCAGTAAAAATTCAAATTATTGAAATTTCCCATATTGCGAAAAAATTCAGTTAAGTATGTAGAACAGTAAAGACTTTAAATCATACAATACAAACTCTGGCAGTTGAAAAAAAAGTATAAGAAAAAAATTTTTTTTTTTGCTTCAAGCCTCATTTTAAAAACCCTGCAGTTTGTTAAAAGTAGTAAAATTTGCCAATGTGCCCCTGAAATTTTTTAGAAAAAGTTTTGGTCCATGGCTTTAAACTATTTTTGAATTTAAATCCTAAAATCACCCTGCGAAATAACGGAGTAGAGTTTTTGGGCATTGAGTTAGGACCGAGTTGGTTAACTCATAGAGTAATTTCGGATAGGGTACACCGTCTGCTCGTCACGCTATCTTATTTTCGGCCGGATAGATTCGTGCAACTTCTTAGTCTAATACCGATCCTAATCTTACTCTTATACTATCTAGTCTCAGGTTGTTTAACTAGTCTCTGCTAGGCTCAATAGATCTAGGGTATACTGGTTTATTGCGGCTGCTGAAGTGCTCGGGAGAGTCCAACTAATTTCTAAGTTAAATTCAAATCTCTCTGGTGCTGAAATTACAAGTAACTTCAGCACTTACAAATAAGTGGGTTGTTAGTTAGATGGATCATGATTGGTTAATATTAAATACTTTACATTGGTAAAATATCTAAATTATCCAATCATAAAATGTAGTTTAGATCAGGTTCCACCCATCCGGGTTTTACAGAGTTTTTTAGAATAGTTCTTCTGCAATTCGAAGGATGGATGATGGACGTTGGTGTTTGGCGAACATCTTACTTCTTCTGTTTCCTTTTTGTTAAAGAAGTTCCAGGAAGCTGGAGTTAGAGACATAAGACGTTGTGTCTTCTAGTGACAACGACTAAGTCTTCGCAACAAACTCAAATCTGATTTCAGAATGGTTGGCTATGTCAGGTTTTTCTGTTCTGCGTGGAGAACTTCTTTTGTGTCTGATCTAGTTTGGGAATGGCGTGGAGATTGTGCGTGGAGGGGATGCCTGGTTACTCGGATCTGTACGTATACTTGAACATCGAGGTGGTCATTGGTCTAGTTCAATGAAGTCCTTTTCTGCGAAGTCAAGTCGTACTCTAAATCCTTTGAGTTGTGATTGTGAGTGGCATATCGATTGTGGTTGGTCATTCTCTCTCGAGTGTAGTGGGGTCGTTTTGTCTTTAGATGTTCGTCCTTGGTGTTGTATTCTGATCTATGTATTGCATAATGTAATTTACATTTTATAAAACATTTATTAGTTTAATATTTTTTAATTATGATTTTAGTTAGTTGTTTTCACAAAAGCTTTTTGTTTTAGTTCGGTTATTTTGAAGAGTTACTCACACTTGAGTAGCTCTTATTAAAAATAGAGGTGTGGTCACAAAGCGTGGATGTAGCGCGGTGGGTTAGGCCGGCTATAGAGCATGCTCAGGACGTCCTTCCTGGTGGGTTAGGCCAGGAGTGGGAGTATGATTTCATGCGGTTTTTGTGAGGGGTCCTGTTATGTGACAACGTTTTATGTTGGGTTTGTTGTGGTTTTTCTTATGTTTTGTTGGTTGTGTCCTTTTTTCAAAAATCAAATTGTTTGTGGTATGGGTTTGTCTTTCGACTTTTTTGTGTTTTATTATTTCTTTCTTAGACTTCATAATAGTCTTTAAAAAAATAAATTATCCAGTTTTAAGCTGGGTTAATCCGGTTTGGGTACCGTTGGTTTCCTTTTCTTAGTCATGCTGTTATGCTATGTGTTGTGGTGTTTAGTAAGCTGCATTGGTTAGTTTTGTTTAGTTTATAATTCCTTTCCAACCGGGTTAAAGGAAAGTTTGAAACATGTTATTATATGTTAGAGTTGTTGAGTGTGAAAACTTGAAACTGAAATTCATTATTTTAAACAATTCTTCGTGGGCGAGCTGTGCGAGTGTGGATAGAATTTCTGTGCGAATGAATGAAAATATCAAAAGGTTAGTACTGCAATTGCATTTTATTAATTTACTGCATAGAATTTGGAAATTTACTGCTAGTTATGGGGGAATTTTAAGTTACAAATTTTCATCATAATTAGATTTACTGCTTGTGGGGAAAATTTTAGAAATGAATTTATTGCATTGGTATTAAATTTATAAATCTATAAGTGTAAGAGATTAATAGAATTTTTGAAATCTGTTTGATGAAATTTGCGATTTTTATTTGTCTTTTGTGGTTTTTGTAGGTGATCGTCGGATGAAGGCTAAAAATCTAAAGAAAACATGAATAAAGTATGGTGAGTTTTTTTAATATTTTAATTAGTTAGTAATATTCATTTAATTCATACTTACCTGTTAGTCGTCGGGGAAAAAACCGTGGGGGAAGATGTCGTGAATTAGTTCTGAAGTTTTTAGTAGTTTAGCTAAGATGCGGATGATATTTTTAGTCTGAAGCAGTGGCCAAAGCAATTGGAGTGCCTTGATAGTGGTTAGTTCTTCAGTGCCAACTGCAAACTCATAAGGTGTGTTTTGGATTAGATTATATAATTTGTGATTAAATTTAGTGTTGTGGATGAATTCTAAAATTGGGATTTCTATAGGTTGTACAAACTCGTGCGGGATAAGGAAGGGTCGGGATTCTTCGGCGTTGAAGGTCTTGGTGATGGGACAGAAGATGTACATTTGGGTTATGGGATCATAATTACGAAGAATACCATGGAGGTTAGTGTCTTTAATACAATATGTGAAATTTAGGAAAAATGGTGAAGTGTATTTGGAATTAATGAATTGAAAACGATGGTGTGGTTGTCTAGAGGGTGTGTGTAGGTCAAAGTGATTTTGGATGAAGCGATAATAACTATATGTGTGGGTTTGTTTAGTGCGCAACATAATATCGTGTGAGCAGTGTAAATCTCTTTCGTGTGGTGCAAGGAAATGAAAGGTTAGTGAGAATATTTGGAAGCGTTCTTTAAAACTTTCGTATGCTTGTGTGTCTGTTAGTGCTTCTGAAATAATGTGATCAAACTTTCGGTCGAAGATGTTTAGTGTAAATATATATGGTGTCTTGATGAAAAATTTCTCAGTAATTTGTGGATTAGCGAAGCGATCGTCGTCTAAGAATTGATCTTGGTTAGCTCTGATGATGTTGTGATCATAGTATTCGAGTGTATATTCGTTAGCTCTAGGTGCAGTGTGTGTTTTTAGTGATTTTTTATATCCAACGTAAGTAAATTGTCTAGCGGTTAGTGGTGTAGTGAGTCGATATAGCATGTCCGTATTTCGCTCTATATCGATGTGAGTGTTAGATAAAGGTAAGCAAAGAGGGTTAGTAAAATGATAATATGAGGTCCAAGAGAGAGTGGGCATTAAAACGTATTCATCTACAAAGTTGCGTGTTTCGTTAGTGTCGTGGTGGGTGTTTAAGGTGTATTGTGGGAATGAGGGTAAGGTGATGGCTAAAAATTCTTTTGTGTTAGTATGCTTGGGGTGGTTGATGTATTCACGGGCTGTTCCTGGTTTTGCTGGGAAAGGATGGTTGGGGAACTTTCTTTTAAAAGTGCGGTAAGCTCTATTAGTGTTGAGTGAAGATTCAGTTGATGTGGATGATGGTGCTAATGATTCAGTATAATTTGAAGAGGGTGTAGGGGTAGGGGGGTTGGATGAATTTATTGTGGAGGAGATTTGGTTTATGGTTGGGGTATTAAGGTGGTAGGGTTGTTGTTGAAGGGTAATAAAATTATCTAGCTCTGGGGAGATTCGGGGGGTGTCTGGAGAATGAGATGATTGGTCAGAATGGTATGAGGAGTAGGTTGGGGTAACTTGGGAAGCATAAGAGGGTGTGGGAGTGATTGGGTCAGGGTTATTGGATAATATGGGTTGAAAAGGGGGTTGAGAAAAATTAGAAGAGTTATGAAAATTATTGGATGGGGATGGTTCTGAGTCGGCAAATTCATCGGGGGTTTCAATATTCGGGTTATTGAGTTGTGAGATGGAATATAAAACTGAGATGTGTGAATTAGTGTCGGAATTCATGCCTGATGTTACATTACTAGATGGAAAATCGGGTGGCGGAAAAGCAAAAAGTGGTATTATTGGGATTGGAGAGGTAAGATTGGTTGGGTGGGAATTTGATCGGTGTAGTGATCCAAGTTGGCGGCTCATCGTGGGCTAAAAAAATGATTATTTTGAGACTGAAAAGCGGTGGTATGGGGTTGTTCAATAATTTGTTCATAAGTATTATCATCTTGTGACTGGTGTGTCATTATATGTTGAATGGGACTTTGTGATGTGGTGAGTCGAAAATTTGGATTATGTGTGATGGCTAAATTTCGAAAATTTCGTGGGACTAGGGATAGTGGATGGTTATTTGGTAGGGGTGGTAATTGTGGTGCCGTTGGCGTTATGTCTACATTGTTATGTTCTTCGTCGTATGTATTTTGTCGTGTTGCTATTTTTGTGTTATATTCCTTTATTTGTGCGTCTAAAAGAATTTTGTTTATAGATGTAGAAAAGATTCCAAAAAATCCTGCAAAGAGTATGCGTGCTACACTTGCTTGTCGATTGACTTGTGTGTGTATAGCACATGTGTTGTAGATTCCTTTTAAAAGTGAGAAAAGAAATCCAATAAAGTTAAACATTGCGTATAAAATAGTCAATTTTTCTAAGATGTAGTAGGGCCATCCTAGAAAATCGAGGATCTCATTTTTGAGTGTAACAAAGCTAAAAATGTTAATTGGTGATATATCTTGGGGACGGTATTTTTCACCGTTTAGATATATATAATCTTTAATGTCTTTAAAATATCCGCTATAGTCTTGCGTGTAGATATCGGCAAATCCTGCGGTTTCTGCAAGTTTGCGTAAATTTTGGTCTATTGATTGTCTTTGTATAGTGTCCATTTGTGTTAATAATTCTTGGAATTGTTGTGTTCTAATGTGATGTTGAATATCTGATTTTGAATAGATTCCTATTGATTGTAAGTCTATATTTGGGTTTCGAGCAATAGCGCGAAT